TTTATCCCCCCGCCTGGACATATGTCGACGAGTGAACGCCTTTTTTACTGCGAGTAGAGCACCTGGCTTCTGAGCCCAGCAACGGTACCTCACTGAGGGCGTCTAGCAAGGGACAGAAACGTACAGGTCCCGGGAAACACTGCAATGGTGGTGGGGTCGAGAACGGCGCGCCCGGCTGATGCGACGAATGAGCGGCAACCACATATGACGACCCCGAGCTGGACTCCGCTTTGTCCACGGTGAAAGTTGATGTATTCCCTCAGCCACCATCACGGATCAGCTCTAGGCATGACGAAGCGGATATCGTCCTCTTTTGGAAGACGAAACAAAGTAGTTTCGCTTTCACAACGAAGCACACAGCGCCTTCACGACATGGCTGCAGCGTCAACAATACTACAGCGAGAATAAAAGTTACGCCGCCTTTCTTTGTGTGAACATTTGGGCGGCATTATGCAAATCTGTAGAGATGTAGAGATGTGGGGGCGTGTTAGAACGAGCCGTTTTAGGAGGGCGTGGCTGACTCTGAACTTTTATAAAGAATATCTCTTTGGATTTGAGACTTTAGTCTTTGCAACTTTACAGATCTTCTTTATGCACCAAGAGCTTGTAACACTCCAAAGAGAAAGGAAACATTGAAATCGCATCATATGACCCCTTTAAATAAAAAAATTATTGCGACTTTTTATCTCACAATTCTGACTTTTTATCTCAGAATTGCGTGATATAAACTCGCATTGTGAGTTTATATCTCGCAGTTCTGACTTTATTTCTCAGAATTGCGACTTTATATCTCACAATTATGACTTTTTAACTCGCAATTGTGAGTTTATATAATGTAATTCTGAGAAAAAAAGTCAAATTTGCGAGTTTGTATCACGCAATTATGAGAAAAAAAGTCAGAAATGTGAGATAAAAAGTCGCAATTAACTTTTTTATTTTTTTTTTATTCAGTGGTGGAAATGGGCTTCCATAGATATCATCAGGAATGGGGAATATTATCAAATTTTCCACCCCCAGCGTATTCTGATTACTTCTACGTTGTTGTAAAACATTTATGCACTGAGGTGACAGATGCTCTATTTTTAACTTGATGCAATATCTTGAAAATAGTGCAAGATGCTGAAAAAACAGTGAGATATGATGCAAGATGTCACCAACAACTGAACCGACAATTAAAAAAAACAGTACAGGCGCAATAATGCATTCTGTGCGAATGTCTCGGAGGAGGAGGAGGAGTGTCCGATTCATCATCCATTTCTGTAGCTTCCTGTCTGTGCGTGGCAGTGGATCCCATCAGTATTCCGAGAGCAGGCAGGAGGACCGAAGCACTCCAAGAACTCTAAAGAAACAGAGGGATGAAAAATGAAGCATGTGTGTGTTCATCATAAACAATACTTCGCCTCTCACAGTGGCAACAGCACAGAAATCTGCTCATAAGTCAGCCGGTGCATCAGCGTGTATTGTGAAATGGCCATGCGGTGATTTTTATCAAAGGAAATGCTCGGAAATTAACTCTGCCTGTGACAAATGTTACTGTTGACTGATACTGTTCTTCTTTCCTGCTTTCAGCTTCAGCTTTCTCAGAGAGATATCTAGGCCCTCCCAAGCCAGATCGGAGGGCATACGAGGTACATTTCCTGTTTTATAATCTGTATTTTGTATTCACCATACTGACAACACTTACGGTTTACTCTTTAATATTTCCACAGATGGCCAACCTTGCATACAGAGCGTCTCAGTTCATCGATAAGAAGTTTTTAATCATTCATCCAACAGCAGATGGTAAATTTCCTTTCCAGTTCTTACAATGTCTTTGTAAAAGCAAGAACACTGTCAACTAACACGCATCTCATTCACCTTTTAGAACAAGTTCATTTTCAGCACACAGCCAAATTCATCTCCAGGCTAATCAGCGAGAGAGCAAATTACACTCTGCAGGTAAGAGATCTTGAGAAGTTTAAGAGAATTTCTTAGTTTCTTCATTTTAGAGGCCATTCACACGGAACGTGGTTTTGTGTTTAAAAAGTGAGATGCATGCATCTTTATTTGATCTAAATTTCCATTCATTTTTAAAATATAATAAATTGTGTATTTAAAAGGTACATACTTTGATACACATTTAAACTACGATTAAGTTTTATTTGCGTACAGTCGGTTGAACCAGCTCCTGGTTGAGCAGTTTGGTCTCAGCATACACTATTTTTTTCTCAGTATACACAATTTTACACAATTTTAATATGTTTTTAGGCCACAGTGTTATTTTAATATCATTGAGAGACTATTATAGTTTTTATTAATGTATTACTTTTTATTTTTAATAAATATTTTATTCTAATTTCAAAGTTTGACATTTTTTTATTTGTATTTTTAAATTTAAATTTAAAACTTTTGAAATATGTCTATAATTTTATACATTTTTATTTTAGTTTTAAGTATTTTTGTGCATCAAGTTAAACTAAACGAAAATTTGATTTTTCCTTGGCAACTAGCTGAAATAAAAATGTAGGTTTTTGTTTAATTATATAAAATATACATTTATAATGAATCATTTATAATAACACGTTTTATGGTTTTGGTTTTAGGTGCTGTATGTATTTTTTAATACCATAATATCTTTGCAAATATTTCGGAAACATGCTAAGTTTACATATTTGTTTCTCTGAAAAACAATGCTACAGCCAGTTTTTCTACTCTGAAACGTGCTTTCCATGTCAGAATGTCTGTTTCCAATATTTTTTGAATTTGCATCTCTTGGAACAGCTGATTTGCAACAGATAGTGTAGGCCACCATTATAAGTTTAAGAGTTATTAATACATGAAGGCCTAATACATGAGATATTCAAGATGAGGCAAGCGTGGTGTTTCAGTCAGAGATTAGTTTATTTTTAACAAACATAAAAATATCATCATCATTTAAAGAATTCAACAATATATTCTATATATTGTATATCTAAAAAAAAAAACTATATTTAGTTAAATATAATGAATTTGTATGATGATGTAATCAATAACTATTATAATTCGAAAAGTATAGAATAATGAAGATTTTGTTGTTGTTGAATTTTTGCAAAATATACAGAGAATCAATCAATCAGTCAAATTAGATTACTCACAGTGCTCCATGTGCACTATTCCATGGTAACATTGACTTCTCTAATTGGTTTGAATACAGGTATTGTAGTTCTTCACTGGAAATTCCACAATTAAATACTACTTTTTCTACACTGAATTTGAAAACACCCTTGTGATTTATTCAGAAGCATATATCATCGCATAACGTCCTCAGAGCTGATGGCAGGAAAGGTTTATACGTCATTGGTAAAAATCCATTTCTCTATGGAGTAAGTGAATGGGGGTTTAACTGTACAACCTGCATCCATCTGTGAGCATGACGATGTTTGTCAAAGGTGTGTGAGGTCTGGGGTGACTGGATACTGAGCCTCTGAGCAGCTGCTGCCAGCAGTGGGATTAGACACACTCAATGCATGCAGCTCATTTAAACAGATTATACAGGCCACTCTCATGAGCCACACACTGAATAATCCCATTATATTCCCTCACTAGGAGATTGTCTCTTTGCTTTCTGCTCCCTTATAGATTTGCTATTAATTACTGGCTGTTGAATGACTGTGGAATTAATTAGGGCAGATATTCATCGGGATGTGTGTGATCGTCACCGTGTCAGGGCTGCCACGCACACAAGGAAAGTTTGTATCATTGCAGTAGAAGTTTCTGGATGTTTTCACACTTGGTTTGATTGTTTGGTTCAAACCCATGGTTCAGTACACATTTGTACCACAGTTCATCTCATATCTAACAACACTTCTGAAAATCTAAATATTAACTGAGATGAATTGAGATGTCCAGAAAGTATGTAAATAACAAATTAAATCAATTCCTAATGTTGGTCTTATATGGACCAATTTCATTTGTTCACTAACAGTGTCTAAAATTAGGCATACATGCATTACAGGAAAATTCTCATGTTTTTATTTTATTTAGTTCTTTATTTATACATATTTTTTGAAGGTAATGAAAATGTTTTACGTCTTTGTCATTTCACAGTCATTTTCTGTGCTATAAATTATTTAAAAACCTTTTTGGAATAAAATAAGGCTAATTTCACAATTACCATTTTATGTATCCTAAAAAAAATACAATTAAATAGTATTTTCACACCTTTTGTGTAATTTTACATAATTTTAGCAGTGAAGTGTTGGAGATGATGGTACAACCATGGGACAGTCGTATTTTTAATTAATTAATTTTTTTATATTTGTGTGTGTGTGACTCACTTTGTTTAGTTTAAGCATATACATATTCATATTTTAGTGGATTTCCATGAATAATGTTTAAAGTCTGATTGTAGTTCAGGGTAATCTAAAAAGTATTAAAAGCAAAAATAATAAAATAAACTGTTTCCAAGTATTAAAAGACATTGAAAAATTAGTAAAAAATAAAACATGAAGGCATGGGTGAAAACAGTTTCCAAGACCTTTATACAAAAAAATTAAATAAGAAAGATAGAAGAAAGGAACAATTTTAATCTGTTTGTTTGAATAAATCAACCAAATAATCAACCACTGAGACCCCTGGAACTATCCTGCAATAAAAGCACTGAGACATTTCTTACGAATGCTAAATAAAACTCTATGAATGGTAAACAAATCATAGATACCGATGATTTGACCAACCTTTGATGTCAAACTGACTTACGTTCAGCCCAGAAGATGCAGGGCGAAAGCGGAATCAGGCCGACATGTGCTGTTCTAGAGTTCTGTGATATTGGGCTCAATACCATGTCTTGTGTCCTTCATTAGATCTACCCAGACGAAGGACACTTCATTCACAACAAGGGAACGCGGCAGCACCTCAGTCAATCGCTGGTCAACTTCTTCGAGGAGTGTTTCCGGCTCCCGGACCGAGTGTTCGAGGAGGCGCTAGAGGAGGAGAGCGAAGAGGAGGGTTAGTCCACCCGTTCCATGAAGTCCAAGCACAAAGCCAGCTCCTTTTGCCACCTGATATGCAACCCATAGATTTGAACCCTCCAGTTTTCAGTTCCCTTCCGGTGTCGCATGCTGACTCTGAGACCGCCCTGCCTCGTGTTCCTGCCTCGGCTCCCCTTCAGGTGCTCCTCACTATCCATCAACCCTCGACAGACCGCGGCCGTGCAGCGCGGCGTGGCATCTGGCTGGCACCACATCGTCTCGCTCTCCCCTGCAGGCCAGTTAGGAGCTTCTGAAGGAGTCTCTGGTCTGTCCATCTCACGTTGACGAATGAGACGCTGCGATATTAACTGACCGCCAAGCGCGATGGCCTTTGAATCCCTAAGAGCTGTGAGACTCGCAGCTAGACTGAGGGGTCATTCGGTGTTTGATTCAAATAGGTATCTGGTGTTTTGGGCAAAGGGGTTGTTGTCGGGAGAACGTGTCATTTGTGGTTCAAAAGGTCTTCTCATGTCCAATTGTGCTCGTGTCTGGTGTTGCAATGTAAAGTCGCACATGAAAACCATTCACTTGGATATTGATAAAACTAGTTTTCAGTGTTCAAGCGTGTCCGAGTCTTGGAAATCTTGTAGCCTCAAGTGTGTATTTAGATGGTGTTTATTCATTGCAGAAACTTCATCAAGCAGCAGGGGAGCAAAAACGATTCGCATTATTCTCGCAGACCATGACAGTTGTACAAGACTGTTGATCCCACTTCTCAACATGCGTTTCCTTGAAGTGATGGTCTGTCAGTGCTGAAGAAAGCACTCTATGTTGATTTAGTCACTGTGCCTTATTACGGGAGCGAACAATCGTTTTCGAGGAGCCTCTTTGTGAATATAATCACTCATTCAAGGCTTACGTTGGATTGACTAAAATCCTGTATCTAAAACGCTCTTGTTACATTGTCGATGACATCACGGTATACATTATTGACTGTAATAGCATTGCGAAAACACTGTTATTTTCGTTTGCACGCGTGTGAGCCAGTGTTGTTTTAGCATCAACAAAAACAAACTCGCTCGCATTCTGCTAATAGCGGTTTTCCATCCACTTTAAGGATCGGGTAATGGAGCATGAAATTAAAATGTATGATTTCAACATTACCTCAGTATTAAACTAAAGCCCCTCTGAGGCTTTACAGACACTTTGTAGAACATTTGTTAATTCATGCCCAAAACAAATCTGTACATAAAAAGTATATTAAGTAGGGTAGGAAACACTTCTGTGTTAAAGGGATAGTTGACACAAAAACAACAATTCTGACATTGAATCAGCCCTTGTGGCGTTCCAAACCTGTGTGACCGACTTTCTTTTGGAGAAGAGACGTTTAGCAGAATGCTGATGCTGTTCTTTCAATACAAAGAACGTCAATGGAGTCATTGAATGGAAACAAGTCTTCAGTGTTTCATAGAAGAAAGTACAGTAGGTTTTCCAGGTTTGCAGTGAGGTTGAGTATATGTTGGCAGAATACGGTCCCTTTAACGCTCATGAAATACAGGACTGTGTAAATGTTTAACATTACAGTGGTGGAATTTTCATTATTTAAGTCACATATGCTATGTTTGTATGTTTTGCACAGTGCTGTATATGAAGTTATTGGTTGTAACTTTTGCCTATAAAAGCTCTCGAGGATGAACTTTTATTTAGTTTGATTGAAATGTTCATGTTTGATCTCGATGCATTCATAGTGCATGTCGAAAAACCATTTGCAACTCAAAAGGTATTTTTTAAAAACCGTCAAATATCTGCATAGTATCTTTGACGGCTTGAATGTTCCGACCTGCATTTCATTACCGGTAGTTTTGTGAGTGAGATCTCAGTCTTGTCTGCTTGATGTATAAATGTTACTCAAATCTCATTTAAGTCTCTGAATATGTGAGTGTTTATTGTACATAAAGCGTTTGAAGGTATTTTGTTCTCCCATGTCGAGCAGAGCCCCGGAAGTCATGGTTACTACGAAATCACATGGGACCAAGAGAATGATGGGATTGCTGTTTACTGGCTCAGCAAGAACAATTTGCAACTCAAAAGCTATTTTTTAAAAACCGTCAAATATCTGCATAGTATCTTTGACGGCTTGAATGTTCCGACCTGCATTTCAATACCGGTAGTTTTGTGAGTGAGATCTCAGTCTTGTCTGCTTGATGTATAAATGTTACTCAAATCTCATTTAAGTCTCTGAATATGTGAGTGTTTATTGTACATAAAGCGTTTGAAGGTATTTTGTTCTCCCATGTCGAGCAGAGCCCCGGAAGTCATGGTTACTACGAAATCACATGGGACCAAGAGAATGATGGGATTGCTGTTTACTGGCTCAGCAAGAACAGGCATATTTTGACACCTCTCAGAATACAAACTATTTTATCATCACCTTTGTTATGATTTGTTTTCCTCACTTGGAGAAAAGAGGATGAATATGTAAGCAACCAAAATAAACTGAAAGCCTTCAATGTTGATGTCCTGCTTTCTTGTGAATTAAGTAAATGATTGCATTTACATGCATGACCTTAAGACGACGACCTCTAAGGTCATCTTAGAAGGTGTTTTGTTTTATCTGGGAAAGGTCATAAATGGTTTAAATAAAACCCAATCAGCATATCTACATTTTTGCCTGTTCTCGATTCATCACTGTTTCTGTCAGCTTCTTCAATGTACATATCTATGTTTTAAAAATTAAAGGGATAGTTCACCTAAAAAAAAGAAAATTCTATCATCATTTACTCAGCCTTAAGTCATTTCAAACCTTTATGGCTTACTTTCTTTAAAGCGTGTATCCGACATAGTGATAACACTCGCTGCCTTCTCTAGTGCAGCTCAGCCAGGTCTCGTCCCATTCGTCGATATTTGTGATATCACAAATCCCGGAAAATATGCGTTGTAGTCCAAACGAGTCGTTCGTTGTAGTTTTTGAAAAGGGATTTCTGTTAAATAAAATATCTCCTTTTGAAGTGGACTTTGAACTTTGCAGATCTTTTTTATGCTCAAACAGCAACATTACATACTAAATAAAGTTGAAAAAGTGAAAAAGCATAATAGGACCCCTTTAATGCAACAGATATTGTGAAGAATGTTAAGCAAACAGTTGACTCCATTTTATTGAAGAAAAAAATCAGAGATAGCTCAAAATGTGTTTGACAGAGGAAATATCAAACACATTTGAATAACACGAAGGTGAGTAAATAATGACAGAATTATTACTCAAATATGAACTGTACCTTTAAGAGGATAAAACTTTTTTCCTTGTGGGTTTTATTAATTTGTATTTAAACCTTTAAATAAGACATACTTAGCAACAGCAGCAATACTATATAAGAGCAATAATCAATAAATTGCTATATTTATTAATAATCAAAATAATTATTCCACCAAGTAATATTTCACTGTGTAAGTGTAGGCTGTTACAGTAATTTTGTATATAATCCGTATAAAATAAAACATTTTGTGATACGACTGGGAAAAGGTCAAATATAAGGCTAGTTCGTAACATGAAATGGATTGAAACAATATCCCATTACATTACTGCCTCCTTGTGTTCAAATTGACAAAATGCGATTCATGAGCCATAATGTTTGGGGTTTCTTGACAGATGTCACCATCTACTGGACATTAGCAGCTATTTCAGGTCACTGCACTCTCAGAAATGAGTCTTGTATCATAGTTTCTACTTCATCTACAAGCTTGCTGAAGTCGGCCTCACATACTACATGTGAATCATCTCCACTGTCTTTCATGCACTTCATCAGAGCTTCATGCATCTGCTCTCGTCCTCCAATGGTGCAGAGTTTATCCAATTGCTCAACAGGGTCTTGTGGGATACTTTGACACTGAAGGGCTTTTAAAACAGCCGGAGCAAACTTCCCATGGTGTGCAGTGGAGCATATCACAAGCGGGCAGGTTTTGTCATGTATACGATCGGCGACTACTTTACCAACCGCTGTGTGAGTGTCCATTATGTAGCCTCTTGTTACGTGCACCTCATGTATGGCCCTCAAACAATCATCTTCTGAGCACCAACCAGCTTGAACTTCCAGATTTATCTTCTGACATAAAGTCTCTGATACTTTAAAAAAACGATCTCTTTCTAGATTCAAAAACAGATCTCTGACCAGACTCCCATCCCCGCCGGATGCGTGATGGATGAACCTCTCAAGGTTCGAGGATTTCAGGATATCAATGGCAGGAGAGTTTGAAACCAGCAGCTTCCTTTTGCAGAGATCATACGCTCCACTAGCGATGAAGTCGGATATGACGCAGTTATGATTGGACGCACAGATCACCTTCCGTATGGGGATTCCCATTTGTTTGGCATACAGGGCTGACATGGCGTTGCCAAAGTTTCCAGTAGGGATGCACACATCAATGGGGTCTCCAAACGTCAACGTGCGATTTCTAAGCAGGTCCAAGTATGCCGAGCAGTGATAGACCACCTGAGGAAGCAGTCGAGCCCAGTTTATCGAGTTTGCGGTGCTGAGAACCGTGGCATATTCTACAGCTAAATGTCCGATCAAGCTCGAGTCCCCAAACATTCGTTTAATGCTCCTTTGGCAGAAGTCAAAGTCGGACAGGACACTAATGGACTTGGCATTGTCCTCCTGAAATCCTGTCATTTGTAGCTTCTGAATCTCACTCACTCCTTTCTCAGGGAAGAATACAAGCACGCCAATCCTCCTACGGTCACTATCTTTAAGATTCTGGAAACCGTTTAGCACCGCGCTTCCTGTATCTCCAGATGTGGCCACTAGAATCAGGTAGTTGCACATTTGTGGAAGGCAGTGGGCGAACAGCTGAGACATTAACTGCAGTGCCAGGTCTTTAAAAGAAGCAGTGGGGCCGTGAAAGAGTTCTAGAATGTACTGATGATCGGTGAGGTGCTTTAGAGGTACAACCAATTGATTGGCAAAGTTCTGGCCATAAGCGCGATGCACCATTGAGCTCAATTCTACAGGGGACACATCCATAGGATGGATACAGTTTTCCAGTATGGCCACAGCTCTCATTGCATATGGCATGCTGGATATTCTCAACCATTCAGAAGGTTCCAGTTTGGGGAATCCTTTCTTTGGTACATAAAGCCCTCCATCTGGTGCAAGACCCTCTATGACAACATCACTGAAGAACTTGGAGTCACTTGACATTTGGCTCCTTGTTGAAATGAACAGCTCTGATTCTGAATCCTCATATCTACCCAGAGTCCTCAGGACTTTATCAGCCACATCCTCCACGGAGTCTCCCGTCCCACAAAGGACTCGTGCATCCAGCCATTTTTCGTAAAACTCTTTCCTGTACTGTAATATCGCTCTCATAGAAACACCAGCATCCTGACCCACAATCCTATTCCCCTTCATTCGAGAGAGTCTCTGCATGATATCTTCTGTGTCCACATCCAGATACAAAACCAGTCCAGATCGCTTCAAATGCCGCATGGAATCTGGATGCAATGGATTGGAGCCGGTTAGTGAGATAACACTTCCTGTAGCAGTGAAGTTACATACCGCTTTACCTTCTTCTTCAACGAAACCATCTCCACCGATCTCAGATAGCTTGTCTGCCACACTCATCCCCCATGTCCTTTCGAGAACATCGTCATCTATATCAATAACAGGCATCCCTAGTCTCTGTCCCACTATACGTCCAACACAGGTTTTCCCTGCTCCAGGAGGACCCATCAGAAGAATGTTTCTCTCACGAGGTTTAGAGATTTGATTTGATAGCCATGCTGTAGTGAAGTATGAAGAACCAAACTGAGAAAATAGCAGGTGGGTCCTCAGCTTTCTCACTTTAGCCAACAGCTGGCCGAAAGTTGCAGGGATCATCTTGGAAAAAAAGATCATATGATCTGTGAGGCAGAAATATGTCACAGAATTAAAACACGCCAGTAGATCTAGTAGAGCATTAACTAAAATACAAAGTGTATAGATCTATTTCTGCATTCTGTTGATTAAATCTATTTAGTATGACTAATTTGTTTTAATAAACACTTAGGCCCTTCCCCAATTAGCACACTAAGCCCTCGCGGTCTTCCTCCGAGTCCACATATTCTTGCATTTATTTATTCATGCTGTTTTGAATGGTGGGTAGGCTGTGGAGCGCCACAAAGGTGTGCATTGAAGGCGCAAAGGGGGCGCTCGAGAGCACCCTTCTCAACCCTAAAATGACAAATGGGACACCTTTAACAGGAGTCTCCAACCTCAATCAAACACACCTGAACCAGCTTATCAAGGTCCTTAGGGTTACTTGGTAAGTATACCCCTTGTCCAAATACCCACACTTGCGGTCTTGGCCACTTGAGAGCGCGTGCACGCGACAGGAAGTAAGTGCACAAGACAAACGCCAGAGCGCAGTGCCCTTAAAGCACACTAAATCCACACTATCTTGAATACCGCTCCGGAGCGCTATTCGAGGCTCAGTGTATCCCATCATGTTCTGGAAATAAATCGTGAGACTTTTTGCCGAGATCTCACGAGAGGTCACGGAAACCTTTGCGATGCAAGTTAAATATTAATATAATAATTAGATATTACATATAATTTACAAAGTGTATAGATCTATTTCTGTATTCTGTTGATTAAATCTATTTAGTATGACTAATTTGTTTTAATAAACACTTAGGCCCTTCCCCAATTAGCACACTAAGCCCTCGCGGTCTTCCTCCGAGTCCACATATTCTTGCATTTATTTATTCATGCTGTTTTGAATGGTGGGTAGGCTGTGGAGCACCACAAAGGTGTGCATTGAAGGCGCAAAGGGGGTGCTCGAGAGCACCCTTCTCAACCCTAAAATGACAAATGGGACACCTTTAACAGGAGTCTCCAACCTCAATCAAACACACCTGAACCAGCTTATCAAGGTCCTTAGGGTTACTTGGTAAGTATACCCCTTGTCCAAATACCCACACTTGCGGTCTTGGCCACTTGAGAGCGCGTGCACGCGACAGGAAGTAAGTGCACAAGACAAACGCCAGAGCGCAGTGCCCTTAAAGCACACTAAATCCACACTATCTTGAATACCGCTCCGGAGCGCTATTCGAGGCTCAGTGTATCCCATCATGTTCTGGAAATAAATCGTGAGACTTTTTGCCGAGATCTCACGAGAGGTCACGGAAACCTTTGCGATGCAAGTTAAATATTAATATAATAATTAGATATTACATATAATTTGGTAGAAAAACTGTGTTTTTACGTTTTATTGGTGCAAAGATGAGTAGCGGTGATATTTATTTTGTACAACATTTGCAACTGCTTTTTACCACTTAATTAGAAGCACCACAAATTTAAATTGTCATGTTATAGGGACTACTGAACAGACATTTAGAAGTTGATTTTAAAATTAAAATAAAGCTATAAACACCTGCATTTTTACAACACTACAAGTGTGTCCCCGTCAGGTAATGAAATGTTGTACACACACTTGTGGTCTTCATGCTCACTTGAACACTTGGGCCAAATACAGGAAATACGTCATTTAAGTAGTCAAGTGGTCAAGTGCAAAGACCGCAAGTGTGGGTATTTGAACAAGGCTATAGACAGGTATGTTGGAGCAGGGTTGGAACTAAAGTCTGCAGAAGGGTAGATCTCCAGGAGCAGGGTTGGAGATCTCTGCCTTGCGGCCTTGTGGGCTTAACTGACATGTGCATGTGATGGCCATTGTTAGTCTTTTTCTTCCACATTGTGATGTACTTTAGAGTGTAACAAATTATTACAACTGTAGGGCAGGGACTTGGTTCCACTCATTGAATTCTGAGATGCGGAAAACATATGCATGGATGAATCATTCGCAAAAATAAATATGCTTTTATAAAAGGGTTAAAAATTTTTGAAATCGAAATGTAAATAGATGCCAGTATTCACCAGCATAAAACAATTCCGTTTGAATAAAATGATTAATTTAGCTGTATGTCAATTGTACAATTGGAATATATATTCAAAAATGACATTTACCTTAAAATGCAAAGAAAAAATGATTACAATCTAACAGTCTGTCTATCATCAGGAGAACGTCAGGTTTGAACGTTAATGTTTTCTGATAGGATTTCGTAAAGGATTTTCTTAAGTTAGATGTACACAACTATTGCAGAGTTTCAAAAGTAAGGTTGACCAAAAACGCGGCGTTTATCTGACTATTATAGTAACCTCACCTTCACATGCGCTCATGCATAGCGTGTGCCGTGCCATGTAAACAAACCGCGACAGTACGGCAACCGCGAAAGGACATTTTCCGTTGACGTGCTGAGCAGTAAACGGCTCTCAATGGCGGTCACCTTCAAATAATATAAATAAAAGAAATATTTAGCATTGCTAAAAAAAAAAATTTGTTTAAAGCTAGCCATTCAAACTTAAATGAAAACGTAACTGAAATCATGAAACCTTTGACTAATGCGGAAGAAAATTAAATAAGAGGAAAAGTGTTTCATGTTGCTTGGTAGTGGTTGCTATAGAGACAGTTGTTCAACAACACCGAGTCCATCGGCCATTACGTAAAAAAAAAAACACTACTGTCTGCAAACAGCGGGACGTTTTCTCTTGTTTTCCTGTCATTTTTGTCTCTATCAGCCATCATGAGCGACACAATCTATCCTCCAGAGAGCATCTATAACCTTATTCCCAGAGAGGAAGAGAAAGCCGTGAAAGCACCCAGGTACAGTTCCAAACTGCTGTCAAATCAGGATCTCTTAATCTAAAATATCACGTTCTTTGACATTTTAGAAGTTAATTAATTTTTTCTTCATTGTAACACTGTTTTCTCGGTTTGAAACGTGAGAAAACATCATTTTTTCATTGTTACAATTACGTGCAATTCCACAGTTCTCATTAGCATAATGTATTAACATTGATATGTTGAAATTGTGAAGTATTTGAATGCATTCAACTTCCTATAAAGTATATTATATTATATGCATTTCCAGGTACATGTCAAAGTTCAGAGAGCAGGTGAAGCTGGAGAAAGAGGTGAACAAAGCCCCCAGTAAAACTATGGGACCAGCAAAAGTGGATGTGCCGTCACCACAGAAATATCTACTGAAACACTCCAAGGAGCCCAAACTCGCTGAGAGTACATGTCCTGCATTTGGTGTTTGAGACATTCTGAGAATCAATATATAATATTGACCTTTTTAAATACAGATAAATATATTTTCATTGCAATCATACATGCCAATTTCATGTGCAGAGGTGTTGAGGCCACTGAAGCTGTTTACTATGTACGTATCCTGATTTTGCATGGATCATTTATTTTTCAGAGAAACCTTTTAAATATGAAGATGATGAGCTACAGAGTAAACCACCGATACCTGCCAGGACAGACAAGCCGCTCATGGGTCTCCACAGCAACAAGAACTTTATTAAGACCAACGCTGTGGAGAACATCATGACAGTCCCGAAGAAACCACAGCCTGTGTATGCTTATACCAAGAAGGGAGACAAACAACTGTTGGAGAAATCTGGTCTCATCCCAAAATACATAAAGAAGAAGGTGAGAAGAGAGCTTCATGTTTCAGATGCTCTTGTATCCCATGCCTACAAAGCATACTGTTCACGGTACACACTGCAAATAGAGCAAAAACAGTAAGGAAAAACCTCGGGCCTATTTTTATGCATGTTCTCAGGACTATGGCCTAACTCCAGAGTACCTGCTCCAGCGCAGAGAGGAAGTGAAGAAAGCACAAGAAGAATATGACAACTATGTCAAGGAGCGAATGAGAGAAGGGGCCATGAAACAGCTTTCAGGTGAAGAGCGCCACAATATCCTGCAGGTAATCAAATACAAATAAACTCAGATTGAATCAGTTTCTAGTTGTGTATAGCCTGTGTTCTCTAGAGCTTGTTATTGCAGATCTTGCAGCATTAATCTCCTGATGAGAAATTGCATGTCTTTGTAGTTGTTCCTTTAGATAAATGTATGAATAATGTTATATGAATAAATGGGCATGACCTTTTTTTTTAAATTAGGATTTAAGAAATAGAATGTAAATGATTGTATAAAGGAACTTGTATACACTATAACTTGTGTAGAAACAATTTTCACTCCCCAAACAGTTTCAAAGAAATGTCAAGAAACCCGTTTAATGAAATGTGAAATTTTGAAGTAGAAGGACTGAAACAGTATTTTCTTGTAAAACACACTCTGATAATATTAGCAACAATAATACTCTTTTTAAATAAGTGTTATACTCACAAAGGCTGCGTTTATTTAAACAAAAATACAGTTACAACTGTAATATTGTGAAATATGGCATTACAATTAAAAATAACATTTTCAGTTTTAATATATTTAAAATGCCACTTATTATTGGGATGGCAAATCTGAATTTTCAGTAGTCTTCAGTCACATGATGCTTCAGAAATCATTCTAATATGCTGATTTGATGTTCAAGAAACAGTTGCTGCTTAATATTTCTGTGGAAACTGTGTTACTTTTTATCAAAATAGAAAGTAGCATAAAAAAAATTAAAAGAAAGAAAGAAAATAAATATTTTGTAATCATTTATAATAATTTAATTAATTTAATAATACCATTTTTATAATGTAATACTTTTATAATTAATTTAAATTAATTAATAATTTAATAAAAATTTTCTAATTCATATTATTAAATCTTTTAAGAATTAATAATTAATTTAAAAAAATAATTTTTTAATGAATAATTAATCAATTATTATTTTCATTTTTTTATTAAAATGATTAAATCTTTTGTAACATCAGAAATGTGTTTACTCCCATTTCAAACTATTTAATGCATTGTTGCTTAATCAAAATACCAAATAAATAAATACATCTTACTTGACCTCAAACTTTTGAATTGTAGTGTATAAGAATTATACGATAGCCTACTTTTTATATTACTAGAAATGTCTGATGACTTGATTTTGGCAGGCTCTGAAGAAGAACTGGGACGAGCTTCATCACCAGTACCAAGGCCTCTCTGTTGTCACAGACACAGCTCCAAAAAAATATAGGAAGGAGCGTCTGGAGCAGGAAATGAAGCAGCTGGAGAAAGATATTGAGCTGATTGAGCGACACAAAACCATCTACATTGCTAATATCGGAGCATGATGTTAGCTAGTCGCCCTGAATTCAGCAAATATCCAAGAACAACATTTGAAACGGGCAAAACTGCCACAGTGTCTTTGCTTGTCCTCTCTTATGGTACTTCAGAAATATTTTGAAAGGCTTCTGAAGAGCTTTACAACAATACGTCTGAGTGCAATAAAGATCGCTTTAGATCAACTCAATAGTCTCTGAGCGATTTAATCCATTTAAACTCAACATGAAATCAAAATTAACCACATTTATTTTCATATGATGTGATTTAAATTTTTCCTTTCTCTTTGGAGTGTTACAAGCTCTTGGTGCATAAAGAAGATCTGTAAAGTTGCAAAGACTAAAGTCTCAAATCCAAAGAGATATTCTTTATAAAAGTTAAGAGTCAACCACGCCTACCTAAAACGGCTCGTTCTAACACACCCCCACATGTCTACGTCACTATGTGGGAAGATTTGCATAACGCCGCCCAAATGTTCACGCAGAGACAGAAGGCGTAACTTTTATTCTCGCTGTAGTATTGTTGTTGCGGCCGCCATGTTGTGAATGCCCTGTGTGATTCGTTGTGAAAGCAAAACTACTTTGTTTGGCCTTCCAAAAGAGGACGATATCGCTTCGTCATGCCTGGAACTGATCCGTGCTGGTCGCTGAGGAAATACATCAACTTTGCGCTGTGGATCGCCAGATCGGCTTTCACTGTGGACGAAGCGGAGTCCACCCCGGGGTCGTCACATGTGGTTGCCGCAAACCCGCCGGCCGCTCCTTCGTCGAATCCGCCGCCTGCGCCGTTCTCAAGCCTGCCCGCCTCCACTCACTCTAGCCGCCGGCCTCCGCTCACTCTAACTTTTATGTTTACGTGGCACGATGCAACGCGTAAAAAGACAGTACAAGTCTTTATAATTCTTAATTATGTCCCCACTGGATGCAACAAACGCCTCGTTTATATTGGGTTTTAATGTTTATGTCTCGTCGCTCCGGCCTGACAGGGCATCATCACAATATGGTGAGGGGCGTAACATTTCTGTCACACGCTTGAGGTATTCGGCCAATCATAATGCACTGGATAGCTGGCCAATCAGCACACCTTGCTTTTCAGAACGATGAGCTTTGTAAAAATCATCGTGTTTCAGAAAGGCGGGGCATAGAGGAGAAACAATAATGTACAGTATGTGGAAAATAATGTGTTTTTTTTTACTTTAAACCGCATAAACATTTCATTACACCAAATACACAAAATAATGTTCTTTTTAGCAACATCATATGACCCCTTTAATAATGTATGTTTCTGGTCTTGTTCATGATTCATCAGTGAATATTATTAAAAAATATATAATAATGTCTTAATGTTTTATCAGAACATTTATCACCAAGTCTGCATTTATTCGATCATGAATGAATGAATACATAAACAATTAAAATCTTACAACGTTTTGATCAGAAGTGTAAAATTGTTTGTTGAACCTACTTTTTTTTCTCTCTCTCTCTCGTTGAATATTGTAAGTATCAGGAAATATGCATTGGTGTTGATTAGTATTCATTTTATTACAATGTAGTGTTATACTCTTGTCAGGACAAACATGATAACACTTAGATTACTGTATCTTTGCATTCAGAGTATTTCAGAAAATTCAGAGCAATAAGCGAGTCTTTCATGAAGGAGATTCTAAAGTATCTGTTCTCCAGTAATGTGCAGCATGACTTCAGTTAAACATCTAATGTGACGCATGTGAAAGAACAAAATACTATTTCTAAAGCCATAAAAAAAAAATTTTACAAAACGTTGCCCATGTTTGTCAAAAAAGAAAGTATTTTGATAATGAAAACATTCTAAACACCTCCCACTCTGTTTATTCATGTAAAATGGGTGGGAGCACAAACGTCTGGTCCTCTCTCAGTAAGTAGGCTATCACGGTTTAATTCACTTTCACACATACAAGCACTGACATGGCAGCTGACCAGAGAAAAGAACCAGGCGTTGTGGTAAATATGCCGAACATGTTGGATTTTGTTCTGTACAATTAGACCTAAAAGCTTGTTAAATTTGCATTCTCACTTATTGATTTTCTTTTTGCATTTTGTCATTCTACTTGCATTAATCCCTACTATGAACTGTTGAATTTTCTATTCTGTCTCTGGTTGTTGGTTTAGATTAAAGACGGCTGGGCAGGTTACAGTTTGGAGCTGTTTAATTATCCTGAGCATTACCGAGGTGATCTGGAGTGTGTGTACATCCCTCATGGAGTCATTATGAACAGGTAAACACTGATGGACACAGATCACCTCCTCCACAAAAAACGTGTACATAAAAAATATAAGGCAGCGATTATTGAAATGCACATACATTCTCTCTCATGCTCTATTAATTTGTCTCATTCAAATGTAGTATCGCAGTTATACTGAATAGAGTTTAAAGGGATCTTTTTCTTAGGAGAAAAATCTGAGGAGCGGAGGAGTACTTAAGCAAAATGTTTATGAGAAGCAATTAAGATATTAATAAGAACTCATTGTGATTTTTTCTTCTAACTACTAAATATTTATGTTACTTAAATATGTCTGTCATTTTGTATTGAAAACCGTAAACAATATTGCTAAATGCCATTAAATATTTTTGCTTTCCTTTGTATTGAAAAGAAAGGTAAGTTTATATTCTGAACTATTCACTGGAATCATTGTTTAGTCGTGTGCTTTCCAAGCTCCACAATCGCATTCCGAAGAAAATTGGGCTGATTTACAACCTGCCCTATTAGCTTCATGTGACCCTTAAATCTAATTTCTGAAATCGCATGACCTCCTCACACTCACACACTCACAGATTGTGATCTAACGTGATTTGTAGGATCGAGTGTCTGGCCAGAGATATCCTTCAAGACATCGGACATCATGATCTGATGGTTCTGTGTGTTCTGAAGGGAGGATACAAGTTCTGTTCTGACCTGGTGGAGTCGATTAAAGCTCAGAGCCACAGCGCCAACAGAAGACTGGCCACCAGAGTAGAGTTCATCCGCTTCAAGAGCTATCTGGTGAGGAAACACAGAAATCATAAGCATAATAGCCAAAACTATTTCTGTTTGATAGCAGAGAGTCATGTTTCTTAGTGTATATCTACAACACATGAGTTCTAAAAGTGTTCAGATAAAAACACACCCTTCAAATGAACTCTTTTTTTTTAATCCCAGAAATGACCAAACTGAATAATAATAATAATAGTACACTGCAAGCTAACATTTTGTAAATGCTCAGAATTAAAGAGGCCATCATTGTCTGTAATCAGCAGATGGCGCTCTATAGCTGCATGCATGCTATTTAGAAAAGTATGTGCATGTGCTAAGAATAGCATATTTCTATCTATGCTACTGTATTATTTCTGTTGTATGCAATATGTATATTGTGCACAGTATAGACATTGTCCAAATGAAAATGCCCAAAATACCTGGATGATATACAATGTACTACATTTCTACATTTGCCCAAATCTACAGTAGCCCTATAGAGCTTGGATGAATTCTTGATTCATTCATTCATTCATTCGTTCATTACAGTGTGTAAGGATCAACATCAGACAAAGTAACATTGTCTTTTTGATTCATTATTTGATCGAACTGCCAAAATGTTTCACACATAATTGGATTAACAAAATAAATGTACAAATGAGTATGCTGTGAGCTAATATTCATGCAACTTGAAATTTTCAGAGAATGAATGGGTGCTCTGTACCCAATATAAGGTCGGGTTTGAATCTTTAGGCTTACTCAAAAAATTTGTAAAAACAATTTTATAAAATAAAAAAACTTAAATAGGCATAATATAGAGAAAGTTTTATTTATTTATTTATTTTTATTTCAGATACAGTATTGTCTAATTTTCATGCAGTTTAGTTTGATGTAGCCTATTAAAATAACTAAAACTGAAACTAAAATACTAAATAATACAAAAAACATTAAAAACAATAAAAACAGCAAAAACACACAACACAATTAGTAAAACTTTAACATTAAAATCAGAATGGAAAAAAGCACCGCACACAAATAAAGACAAAAACAGAAAATGCCTCTAAAAAACAATATTAATAAATGTTTTAGTCTGGGACCTTATAAATTGATCCCTTTGATTAATTGGTTCAAAATGACTGATTCACCCATTCAAATTCATTTTGTAGTACATATTTTAGTTAAATGCTACTGTTTTATCAACATGTTTCTGTTAGGTTATTAATATGAAATGTTTTTTGCAGTGATTTCACTCACCTCACAGTCTTTTGCTCCCAATATTCTCACATTTACAAACCCATTGCTAATATTTTTCAACAGTTACTTAAGAACTGAATCTTTTAAATGTCATCAGCTAACTGACTGATTAGTCAGCAGATGGCGCTGTTTGCACAATTTAGTCCAAAGACATACCCTTGTGTGTGTGTGTGTGTGTGTGTGTGTGTGCGCGCGTGTCTTTAAATGCAAATAACACCACTGTAGTAATCAAACTTGTCTTTTAGTACATATTATCAAAATAAGTGTCTATCTACAACTGAAATACACAAAGAGAATCCACTCTGAGGATACAGTAAAGGTCAAATTGTTCTGTCATGGCTGGGTGGGTCTTCAAAGTCGGGTGATTTACTCATGGGCCCCTGAGGAGCCTCTAGTCCATCAGCCAGTGGCTCCACTTCCTGTCTGAACACAACCGAACCAGAACTTTCATCTCAAGCACAGAAGAGCCACTTCACCCCTTCACAGAAGATCAACTTGACCCTGAGCAGAGGACGCAACCCAATTGTCTCATCAGACAAAAGCAGCTTCTGTCTGGCATACAGCAGTCAATTGTGTCCGCGGTGCTCATGTCTGTACAGTAAGTACAGACTGTAAGATCATATGTGCTGACAGGGCCACAGCAGGGGCCTTTTAACGTCCATCTCTGTGTTTTACAGAATGACCAGTCCACTGAAGATATGCACATTATTGGACCAGATGACCTCTCCATGCTGAAAGGGAAGGTATTGTACCAGTTTTTTTTTTTTTTTTGGTAATAAGAAAGCGTTAAAATTAGCTTTATTATCAGTGATTAAGGCAATATTGCTCATGCAGTATTTAGGGATAGTGATTTGAACAACCCCTATTAAACGTACCAATGATACAAACAT